AATGAGCAACAGCAAAAGCACATGAAACTGGCTATTTTGTTTTGCAGATTTTCTTGTTCGGTGTGAACGTACCATTCCCCTTTGACACATTCTATGTGCACCATTGGTCTTTTTTTTTTCTTTCTTACTTGCAGCCTCTTTAAACTCTGACAGCGTTGGCTCATAGATGTCGTAGTAGACCTCTGCAGGTTGGGTGTTGTCCCGGACAAACAGCAGGTCACTGATGTTTGGGTGCTGTTCACCCTGCCACAGAGTCAAGGAGAACCTGGAAAACATTCACAGCTCAAGCCACCAAGGGGAGAGTTTGTAAGGTTTTCAACTAATTATTTTTTCTGGCTTAAGATCAGTCCACATGTGTCTGATATATTTTTATTTATCCTTCTATGGCTGAATAGTAAACATTACCTTGGCGACTGGTTAAGCAACCAGCTGAGGTGCTGCCAACCACTGCGGACGAGCAGAGCATGAACTGGAAACGTCACCTACAGAAAGACAACATCCGGATGAGAGCACGACCAGATATTTAATGGCGAACTGTTAACCATTTATAGGGCACTCAGTGAAATACTTTGAAAATCAACATTTCAAGCCAATAGTATTATTGGAATCCAGGACAAGGTCTTATTATCTTTGTAACATTAATAATTTATGGATATGTTGATGGCAACAAAGTACAGTGTTGTATAAAGTACTGAAATCTCGGAGTCAAGTAAAAGTATAAGTACCTCTCCAAAATATGACTTTGGTAAAAGTCCAAGTCTCTGACTGAAATGTTACTTGAGTAAAAATCTTAAAGTATCTGAAATGGCTTGTACTTAAGTATGAGAATTACTGTAAAAATAGATGTACTCAAGTAATGTAGTGAAAAGTATAAGTAAAAAGTAAGTGCAGTTTGAATTACATTTTTTTTACATTTTGGTAAACTTTGAAGGTTAAATTCACTTAAAATAATATAAACAACGAAGTGTAGGATAAATTTAGACTGGTTTTGCGAAACAGGCGTATCCTATTGGTGTTGATGAACAAGCCCAGGCAAGACCTGACTTTGTAGTCAGTAGGTAGGGTCAAAACTATGGGAGAATTATCCTGCCATAATGC